CCGCCCCCTGGCTGCACCTTCAACCACCACTTGCACCTACCACTTACCACTTACCACTTACCACTTGCAAATAATGCCATGCCAAAGAAATGTGTATAAAACACTGCATTAGGTATACTATATGCTAGGGGACCATCTATTAGTCAACGTGCAACTCTTCAAACAAGTTCTGGTCAGGTTGCTTAGTTAGTTAGCCGCTAACTGATGAGAACATATCTAATCCTGCCTACCTACCTTGACACGAAAATACAACCGAGATGTAAGTAGCGTATGCAATTCAATCAAAAACTATCCGTGATAAACCGTCCCCATATCTCATTTTTCCCTTGTTCGCCCATAAATATATGTGTGTTATAGGTAGCCGTAGCCATAGCCATAGCAATACAGATCTCAGAGGTGGCGTGTGAAACCAAGCCGCTAGAAATAACCATCGCTGTAGCTACTACATCTTATTCACCGTCTCTACCTAGTTAATGTCGAACAGGGACTTAAGCTTGATAATAAGCGCCCACTCGTCGTTCGTTACTTCTTTTCTGTAGAATTCCTTCAGGCAGTCGATACTAGCACGCGAGATCAAGCTGTACAGCTGGTCCGTCTCTTCGAGTTGTCGACCGTATGCCGGCTGGTGGCCGCCCATCTCGATCTTGACTGCTACCGAGGGTTGACCCTTCTTGCAGATTGGAATCTGCTTATGATCTCTTTCGATCGATGATCTGCACATAACTTGTCAGTTCCAGAGGGAGCAAAGGGCGTGCTTAGCTAATGTGATGGAGTGATGAACTTACACTCGGCCCATGCTAATAACTTCTTTGCCTGTAGGACCTTGTCTCACGGCAGCTATCGGTGTGCCGACTCGGAGATTACCATCTATCACATCGACACCGACAACAATGGGGTTGGTCTTGTTGAAAACCGCCACGGTGTTGAGGACGCAAGGGAAGACGGCGAGCAGCTTCGACTCTTCTTTCTTCTTCTCCAGCTGCTCCTCCATGTGCTTCGTGAAGGCGTCAAACAGATGGTAAATAATATCGGCAGTGAAAATCTTAATCCCGTTCTCCTCGGCATAGGCCTGAGCTTCCTTGTCCACCTTAACGTCGAAACAGAGCATGACAGCGTAATCGGGGCTCTTCTCCAACATCGTACCGCACTGCATCACGTCACGCTTGAAGACAGGCCCGATACCAACGTTGGCTACAGGAATCTTGCAGTCCTTCAAGAAATCGAGAAGAGCTTCGAGTGAACCAAGCGTTGATGCTTGCACGCTGACACCTCGTCCAGATGTTGATACACGGCTAAAGAGCTTGTTCAGATCTGCTTCAACTTCTTCTTCCAAATCTTCTTCGTCATCGTCAGGTCCGACTACGAGCAGTCGGGAACCAGCAATGGCGCCTTCGAGGCCAGGTGCACTTATCTTAACACCCATGGCTGCCTTCACCTCCTTGTTGTGTACATATTGTGATTTGACACGCAATTCTTTCATGACGGCAGGTGTAAGCAGCGCTCGAATGTTCGTAGTGATGGCTCCTTCAACACCACACACCACTATTCGATCGCCCTCCCGGAGAATACCGTTGGACAGGATGACATCGATGGTCATACCGAAACCCTCGATTGCCTTCACTTCGAGAACAGTGGCTTGGACCTCTGAGAGGTACATGAGCGAACCAACCATTCTTTCCTGTGTTAATTGAACAATGAGCTTCAACATATCCGGGATACCCTCTCCTGTGTGAGCGGAGGTTGGAACTAGTGAGACGTATCGGGCCATAGACTTGTTTTCGTAGAAAACTTCGGCATTGAATCCCTGTTCGGAAAAGGCGAGTTTAGTCTGTTCCAATCGGTTCCTGAATTCGTTCTGTACACCTCGGTTCTGAAGAGCCAAACTCTCTTGAAACCCATTGTTGTCAACCTTCTTCCAACCGTACAGGCGATCGATCTTGTTGAGTGCGACAATGAAGGGTGTTTTTCGGTCCCGGAGCAGCTTCATCGATTCAAGGGTCTGAGGCTCAAGACCGTGCATGATATCGACAACTAGAATGGCTATGTTGCACAGCGAAGAACCTCTGGAACGTAAGTTGGAGAAAGACTCGTGACCAGGTGTGTCGATGATCAGAAGACCCGGGACCTTTAGTTCGAATTTTCCATCCTGGTTCACGACGGCAGTCTTCTGCTTGATAGCCTCACCTAGAAGAATGTTAGTTGACGATCTTCGACCCGAAAAAGGGGAGCCGCGACAGACCTGGGAAATACGTGGCACCAATCTGTTGTGTGATACCACCAGCTTCTCCTTCTTGGACGTTTGTTTGCCGAATCTTGTCCAGCAGTTTTGTCTTTCCTGTATCGACGTGACCCAAGATACAGCAGATAGGGCTGCGAAGGTTCTCCTTGGATCTAGCGGCTAGAGCAGCCTGGTGGGCTTTCTCTCTCCGTTCGGCAGCCTCCTTCTTACGCTTGGCCTCAGCAGCTCGACGAGCAGTTTGCTCCTCATCTTCAGAGGATTCCTCCTCTGATTCGGATTCAGACTCGGCTTCCTTGCCCTTAGGTCGCGAAGGCAATGCCTTGGCGGACTCCTTTGCAGCAGCTTTCTTTTCGGCTTCTTCATCTGAATCGGCGTCCCAGCTGTCCTTCACATCATCTCCGGAAGCCGCGGCCGCCTCCCAATCCTCCTCGACTTCATCCTCTGCCTGAGCTTTCTTGGCAGCTTCCTCAGCAGCAGCCTGGGCAGCGGCTTCGGCGGCAGCCTTTTCTTCAGCCTCCTTGGCCGCAGCCTCGGCTTGTATTCTTGTGCGCTCGGCAGCTTCGGCTAAGGCTTTCTCTTCATCCACCTGCGAAAAGGTTAGCAAAAGCAATCGCTCAAGCAAGCCACAAGTATGGATTGGGACAGCAACCTTTTGGTCATTCTTCTTGCCCCTCTTCTTGTCATAGGTGACTTTCTTCTTCTTTTCTTCACCATCTTCCGAAGGTCCAACTTGAAGACCAGCATTGATCATCTGCTGTAGCTTTCTCTCGTTACGAGCCTTCTCTTCCTTCTGAGCCTTAGTCAGATACTTTCCTTCTTTCTTCAGCTGTTCGATCCTCTCCTTTTCCTTCTGCTTTTTACGGGCCCTCTCTTCTTCCTTTCGCTTTTGCTCTTCAGCTTCCTGCCTCTCGAGCTCTGCTAGGCGCGCTTTTTCGCTTTCAGCGGCTTTTTCGGCTTCTTCACGCTGCCGCCGTAACTCCTCCTGCTGCTTTTGAATGGCGGCCAAATGAGCTGGAAGCTTTTTGCCTTTCTTTGCTGGAGCCTCTGCAGCGGGCGCAGGAGCGGGAGCCTCTTTCTCTTCAACGGGGGCTTTGGCTGGTTCTGGGGCCTTCACAGCAGGCGCAGGTGCGGGTGCTGTCGTCTTTTTCTTCGCAGCCTAGACAAGGTAGCAACAGGTTAGAGCTCGGAGCCAATCGACGCGTATGATAGGTAGTACCAACCTGTTCCTTTTTCCTTTGCTTCTCCCTCTCTTTCTTTAGCTTCTCTTTCTCGGCCTTAGTGAGCATCCTGCCCGAGTCGGCATCATCGCCATCGGCGGCGGCGGCCGGGGTCGCTTTGGCAGCAGCTTGGTTTTTGTTCTGCTTCCCTCCCTTCCCCTTCTTCTCGGGCAGAGCGAACTCATCTTCTGCTGTCGCTTCTTGAGGCGCTTGGAAGGAAGTGATGTCAGTGGGCTCAGGGGTTGCGGGTTGTGCTCCGTCAACGAAGTTCTCGGACAAGCCCTTCTTCTTGCGCCTCTCCATGGCCTTTTTCCTTATGGCCATGAGACCTCCGACGGGCGCATCATCGTCCTCCGCCGGCTCTGCTGACTCCGCCGGGGGGGCGTCGGCAGCGGCGGCAGTGGCATCGTCATTGGTGGGTGCAATGCTCTCACCAAGATCGGCTTCCCAATCGTCAGCAGCCTTTTTTCCTCCCTTCTTTTTCGGCGGCATCTTGAAGGCTTCCGGGATCCGTGGCTGGGCAGCGTCGAGGAAGGATACTGAAAGAGTCTTGCTACACAGCGAAGTGTAGGAGAATTGAATGAATGTTGAGAAGAACGTGTCTTCGGTCGTGTCGTGCCGGGTCAGAGGTCTGCTTCTCACAGAGGAGGCAAAGCAAGACAAGGCAACGGGACGCGGGGTGGACGAGTGCGACGTCTAGGTAGACGACCGAAGGGAGAGAGACACGGAAACTAAGGATAGATTGTTACGAGAGATGGGTATTTTAGAATCATGTCCCAGAGAAAGTTCCGAAACATGGCCTGCTTCCTTCTGACGCTTATCTCCGAAGGGCAAATAGAGGCAAAAAGAGACTGCACACTAGAGAAAGGAAAAGGCCTCTCGCGCTCGCTCACTGGATGTTGGGAGGGACGAGAGAGGGTCTACTACCTAGTATGTACGGACAGTAGTGGGGGATCATTTAGTGGTGGTGGGATTTGGTTTGGTGGTAAACCTAGTGGCGTCGGCCGATGTGGGAGAGTTCCAGGCAGCTAAGCATTTAGGTTAGCCGACTCGGATTCTGATGACGCTGCGGGGAGCGATTTACACAATTTTAGTGGGTGAATTTATTTGGTGAAATGCTTGTTGAGCACATGACAGGAGACATTCTCAGGTCCAAGGTTGTCGGATTAAAGTCCGAGCGGCCAATATACCGATAAGGAGTTAAGCGAGCAATGGAGGGGTCCTTATCGCACTTATCGATAGAGTATAGATGAGTATGTAGTCTCAAAGAATTAATGATTATTAAGATCGTGACCTTTGTAATACACATCCAAGTTCCTCAGTTTGGTCAACTACACCTATACATACACCTAGGATAGTGGGCTACTGCTCAATAGATTCAGAGACAAAGAGATAAAAGTAAAAGTCTCCTCTAGGAAAAGGTTAAAAAACGTAAAAATCACCAGCAACCCCTCCACCCCACCACAAATAGCCATAATACGTTCTTACTTCACAACGAAAAAAAAAATTAACCCAACCTACACTGGTAGACACCAAAAGATAAACTCCGAATCGGGGAATCGAACCCCGGGCTTGACGGCACCGTACCATGAGAGCGTCAAATGTTAGCCACTACACCAATTCGGACATAAACATTAGGTATGCGACCTCGGCCGGACTCGAACCGACAATCTCTAGAGGTTTCAATGATTGACCACCGAAATCTAGCGCCCTAGCCATTAGGCCACGAGGCCGGCTGATATTAGGTTACGTTAAGTGATGTTGAGTAATAATATGAAGGGAATGGTGAGTGGGTGAATGCATGTTGTGTGGATGGAAGTGGGCGGGGCGAGGCAGTGGTTGGTTGGTAGGTTGGTTGGGTTGGGTTGCCTTGTGGGAAAGGGGGTTAGTTGTTACACTAGTTCCAGCCAGTCGGGTGGGATAGATAGTTGGATCGCGTGGCTCTGTGTGGAATATTTTACTATTGGTGCTGTTGCAGTGTGGATTGTATGGTTGGTGATTGGTTCGCGAGAAAGGCAGATCTGCCGAGAGAGAACAAGGGCACCGGAATTCTCACTACGTAGTACACTGTATTTATAGCAGGCTGCCTTGTCTGACAAGCTCATCAGGTGTTTTACTCATTATTTTATGGTCCTCAGGAATACCTAATACTGAATGAGAACTACCTATGGACTCAGTTCTGTTGAGTCTCAATATATTACTGTCAACCTCTGCACGTCGATCCTGCACATCGCTACTTGTCGTTGGGAATTATCCAGTCAACCATGTGTATGTACCTAGCTGCCACTGCGCTTAAATAGAACGGTTCAATCTCAATTCCAGTTTCTACTAGAAATTACACAAAAACAAATGCCATATTTATGAACATACCCGATTCCGGATAAGGTCTATCTTTGACTCTGCAGCCGGCCTTGTGTACTGACTGTTGTTTGAGCGGCCGTAGTCTATCTCTAACACCGCAATATCGCAATATCCGGTCGGGATGAGAGCAAAACAATCCCATCTTCCCAAGCCATCATCAAAATATCCATCCTATGCCCATTCCATTGCAATCATTACTTTACTTTTTTAAGATACGTCCTCATGGGCTTCGGCTTCGCCTTCGCGCTCTTGGGTCGCCGAACCGTGTACCCCACTCAACCCGGGTCCTCAGATTAAACTTCTAGGACTGAGGCTCCTCAACCTCGGGCTTGGGGGCATCCGCGTCCGTCATCTCCTCGTCCTTGTTGCCCTCACCCTTCGCCTGTTCAGCTGCTTTACGAGCTTCCTCCTCGGCTGCCTTCTTGGCGGCCGCCTCGGCGTCAAGCTTGGCCTGTAAGGCTTGGCGATCGGCCTCTACCTTGTCGAAATATCTCTGGATGATAGGACCGGCCATAGCACGGATCTCGTCTATCTTGGCGACATAGACGGCCTTTGTGGTATCCTCGCCCTCCTCATAAAGCCAGTCCTAAGGGTAAAAGGTCAGCCGCACGGCATCGGGAAGATGGATAAACACCCAAAACAAAACTTACCTCGCATTCGGTGAGTTTCGCCCTCAGCTTGTCCTTCTCTTCTTCGCTAGCAAAGTCGGCGAGCTGATCGTCCAGCTTGTTGCGCATATCGTAAATGTAGGTCTCGAGCTCGTTCTTCTTCTCTTCAGTGTCGGCCACGAGTTTATCTTCCATAATCATAGCTGCCTCCTTCTCGAACAGAGCCGCCTTAGTGTTGGCATCGAGAGAAGTAGTTCCAGCGACAATAGGCAGATCGCCCTTACGAACTTGCTTCTTAACCTTTCGTGTCTTGGGTTTGCTCTCCTCCTTCTTCTCATCGGTCTCCATGGCCTAAGAGGAACACAAGTCAGTTACACGTTACAGCCGCCAAAAGTTGCAGCGCAACAGAAATGTAGTAGAACGATCAAGGGAAACTCACATCAGCATCTTTCTTCTCGCCATCATCTTTCTTGTCTTCCTTAACCTCCTCCTCAACTTCTTGGTCTTCGACGTAATAACCACTCTCTACATTCAGAATGCCATGGATGTTAACCCTTGCCTTGAGCTTGCAGATCATAAATTCCGTCTTAGGGTCTGCCTTAACCCCCTTAACTGAGAAACGGCCAATGAAGGGAGATATCTTGCCGGGAAGGTCTTTGGGTTCCGAGTATCGGGCCTCTAGATCGAAAGGCTGCTTTCGGTAGAAGGTTAGGATTTTAGTGGAAGGTAGGACATTGCCCCTGCCGAAGACAGTCAAGCTCGTGTCCTCGTCAGGGATGTCCACGTCCTTTTCCCACGAAAATTCGATCGGGTAGTGGACAATATCCGCGACAGAGAAATCGCGAACCTTGAAGACGGGCGACAGGATAGCACAAGCAAATGCGCAACCTCGAGCAATGGCCTCGTCCTGATTGAGAGTGAACGAGAGGCCTTTGCCGAAGAAAGCCTGGATTCTCTCCTTGATAGCTGGCACACGAGTGCTGCCACCGACGAGTTCGATGAAATCGACATCGTCCTTGGTCAGTCCAGCATCGGCAAGAGCCCGCTCTAACGGTGCCGTGACCTTGTTCAGGAGCGGTTCAACCAACGCCTCGAATTCTTGCCGTGTCACCATAGCGTTGACGTCGATATCGTTCATGAGAGACTCGATGTTTAGGGGAGCCTGTTGATTGGCAGACAGGATCTTCTTTAGCTTCTCTGCACCAGCATCGACACGAGCCCATGCCTTGGGGTTAGACGCAATATCAATATGGTACTTGCCCTTGAACTCCTTCTGGAAGTGGTTGACTAAGGCCAAGTTGAAATCGCGACCACCGAAGTGGCGGTCGAAGGCAGTTGATTTGACCGACAGCTCGCCCTTCTTGAACTCGACAATAGAGCATGAGTAGTTGCTGTGGCCGATATCAACGAAGCAAACACGGCGCGGCTTCTCCTCTGGGCCAGGCAAATCCAGCTTCGTGATACCATAGCCCAAAGCGGCCGCAGTGGTATCATTCATGATTCGAAGAGGCTTGAGACCGGCGATCTCGGCAGCATCCAGAATGCTCCGTCGCTGGATGTCGGTAAACCACGGCGGCACGCTCAGGACAACATCGGCTACGGGTAGCTTCAACTCGGCAGCAGCAGTAGCCTTGACCTTGCCCAGGAACATAGCGACAAGTTGAGTAGCACTGAACTTCTCCTTCTTGCCCTGGTATGAAACCTCGGCGCCAACCTGGCCACCGCAGTCTACGAGGGCGGCCGAGACATACTGCGCCTCGATCTGGACATCGGGGTCTTGGAGGGCGCGTCCAGCCAGACGCTTGAGGGAGCCTACGGTGTTCTTGAGGTTGGAAATTTCTTGAGTCTTGGCCGGCTCGCCTATGTAACGGGCTCTGGGGCCGAATCCGACGAGGGAGCTGAGAGCAAAGGTTAGCGGGAAGGAAAGAAACTATCGCGAGCTAGGCGGGGTAACACTTACGGCGTCGCACGGTTGGAGACTTCATTGGTGATCTAATACCCAAATGACCTGTCAGCCTTACGAACAGGAGCTACAGTAGTATAAAACGGACCGGGGGGAGCGGAAGCATGACAGGGAGTTACGTACGACATCGACGCCTCGATTTCTCGCAACAGCAATAACTGTGTTGAGCGTTCCGAAATCGACACCTGGATGACGCTAATGTTAGTAAACAGGAGAATACGCAGCGACCAGGCGCAAGAGTATCTGGGCGAGGATAGGTAGCATACCAACAACGCTCATCTTGTCTGGGTAGATGCAACAACTGGGAGTAGTTTGGTTGCACGGAATGCTGCTGAGGATCGATGTAAGGGGGGATAGAGGGGCTAGAAGATATGTCGGCGATAAACAACAGAGCAGCTCGAAAAGAAAGATGCCAGGCTCGGGCGGTGAGGGAATGGTCGGAAGAGGGCGGGGAAGTCTATGTCCAGTCGTCTGCGGTTTGCGGCACTTCGGACGCTTTCTAAGGCAGTGACTACCTAGCACGACAGAATAGAATATGAAGCGATTCTCTTATAATAAGGTGTAGGAGAAAAAAAAAAAAAAGGTGCCCAAATGCGCACTGTAGGTGTAGACTGCCTGTACCTAATAATAAGGTGGGAGAGGGAGGGACAAGCGGGACAGGTCTGTGGTCGAATTTCTGCGTAGTCTAGCCTCACCCGGCCGACCCATTTATCCCTCTTTAGCCACACCCCCCTGGCGAGGGCGTGTACTGTAGTAGTTGCTCTGGCGCGAAACTTCTAGAGGCTTCAGGTAACTGCCAGCAATAACAAGAACAAACAATCCAAAACATTTCCAACGCATGCGGACCGCTCTTTAGCTGATCCCAGCACCTAAGTACTTACCTACTTCCTACTTCCTACATTTTCAGTTACGATATTGGTTATAAAGTCATGACCCAGCCAGAACCAGCCTTGTCTGTAAGCCATATCCTAACAATTCACACAACATCGGGTTAAATCTATGAAACGTCATGTTCCACTAAGCCTGAACCTGACTCTCTACTACCACACCTTTAGCTTTCAAGGTGCACTAAGAGCAAAAAAGGTTTTCATTATCTAAGGCACAGGTTCATTGCTTGCTCCTACAACAACGACGACTAGAAGCACCCCTCTCAACCACCCCCTTATCACCCCGCCTTCAGCTGTTATCGCTGCCTGCCTATCAATCGATATCACTTTCCAACACCCATAATAGATGGTGGGGTCAAACGTCAAAAACTTGCAGCTATGTGCTCATAAATTTTCCCTCCTGACCGCCCGCCCCGCCATTAAGCAAAAATAGTATCACACTTCTACATATGTACCTAGCCTAGCCTATATATACACGTAGGCTAGCCGGGTGCCTGGGTGTGTGTCAAGAAGTATTATTTCGAAACTATAGATGAGTCTCATGTTTCTTACTTTCACCTCTCGGAAATTTGTTTGGTGAGCGAAGTGGGGATAGAAGACATGTGTCACAATCTTCTTAGATGAAGTTTTTATATACCCAGGCAAGGCGATGATCGAAAAAACGTGCAGTCCTTACCACTGCTGGGGGTGGTGGGGACTGCCCGTTTTTTCGATCACCGCCTTGCCAGGTTATAAGAGGCATAGCTATTAAGAAAGTACCTGAATTAGTCGTCATCACAGCCCAAAGGGGAATGACGCAATACATACCAAATGAGTACCTCATAGGAGAGTAGGCAAACTAAGTAGTTGCCAGTTTTCCTTATCATTCAGCTTCAGTTATGAGATTACGTGGAGAGAAAGAGAGGAATATAGAA